TTGAGGATCTTCGCACAGTTGATGGGCAAACTTATAGAACTTTTTCGGATGCAGCAAAAGCTTCGGGCTTCCTGGACGATGACACCTACTACAGACAGAGTATACAGGAAGTAGTTCAATTTCAAACAGCGGCTACTTTGCGAAGCTTTTTTGCATGTCTGCTCTGCTATTGCGAAGTAGCAGATGCACAAGAACTTTGGAATGAGTTTGTGATGGCAATGAGTGACGATTATGTGAATCGAGGCCTCGACGAACAGGAATCTGCTGCGATGGCGTATTTCGATGTAGCAGATAAATTGTCACTTTTAGGGAGAGATTTGAGGCAGCTTATAAGACCTCCTGCAAACATGCGCCCTGTTATTCCAAGTGACACAATAGATTACGAACAATACCGCAGTGAAGGAATACGTCTTTATGAAACATTGAATGCTGATCAGAAAAGGGCAGCCGACGACATTATTGCAGCCATGGAACGCAACTTTGATAGGTGCTTTTTCATTGATGGTCCGGGAGGCACAGGAAAAACTTATTTGTACACAGTGCTGTACAACATAGCTGTGGCTCAGCGCCGCCGTGTGCTCTGTGTGGCGTGGACCGGCATCGCTGCGAATCTGCTTCCGGGAGGACGAACTGCAATATCAGCGTTTAAGCTCAACATGGCGGACGGTAATCGTTCGTCATTAATGAAAAGGCAACAACGGGAAGCAATTGAGCTTTCGGCCACTGAGGTCATCATCTGGGACGAAATCTCTATGGCACCAAGATGCTCGCTCGAGGCCGTCGACAGCTTGCTTCGTGACATCATGCAAAATGATAGGCCATTTGGAGGCAAGTTGTTCATAGTCGGTGGGGACTTTCGTCAGATTTTACCGGTCATCGAGCATGGTCAGAGAGAAGACGTCGTCGAAGCATGTGTCACGAGATCCCCGCTCTGGACCCTCTTCAAGGTACACCGGCTTCAGATAAACGTGCGCGCTCGGGAAGCAGGGGGCGATTGGCACAAGTTCCTTTTAGAAATCGGAGACGGATCGAGCGGCGAAGATGGACGCGTTACTTTGAATGAAGATATTATTTGTACTACCGACAATATCGTGACGGCTATTTTTGGCGAAGTCATTGATACAAATGAGACTCTTTATGAACGGGCCATCTTGGCTCCAAAAAATGTTAATGTTAAACAACTGAATGATGACGCGATGCAACGTCTACATGTAGATAATGAATGCGACGAGAAAGTTTATAGAAGCATAGACGATGCTATCCTTCATGAAGGGGATTCCGAACTCTACCCGGTTGAGTATCTTAACTCCCTGGAACCATCAGGAATGCCTCCTCATAAGCTGAGACTGAAAAAGGGAGCCATAGTTATGCTTTTGAGAAACCTCGATGTAACTAACGGCCTTTGCAATGGCACACGACTGAGGATTGAAACCCTAGGGCGTTTTGTCTTAGGTTGCCGTTTTATCTGTGGGGAACGAAGAGACCAGCCAGCCGTTATTCCGAGGATCGATAACTATTGCGAAAAACTACTACCATTCCGACTGAGAAGACGTCAATTCCCCGTTAAAGTCGCGTTTGCAATGACGATTAATAAGTCTCAGGGGCAGACATTTGCAAAAGTTGGTGTTTATCTCCCTGAAGATGTATTTAGTCACGGGCAGCTGTATGTTGCCTTCTCCCGAGTGCGAACACCGGCCGGCCTGAAAGTGAGTACACCAACAAGAACAGTTCGAAACATTGTTTTTGAGGAGGTTTTGCTCTAATCCGTTTTACTTGCACCAACTTTAACTACTACTACTCGGACTATTACTTGGTTTTCAAGAAAATGAGAGAAAGATCAGAATTATGCAGCTTCTTGATAGCAACGTAATTAAATGAAATGACTCATGCCAAAGAAGTAAGAAAAAAGAGTCATATAGTAAGAGAGCATAAAATAGTTAAATCAAGTTTCCATAAGTACTTCTTCCTTCCATCCATCTGTCTGAGTCAATGCTGAGATTAGTCAGAAGAGCAAATCAAACTTACTTGGTGAACAAACCTGATAGAAACCAGATGATTCGTATTTCTGCAATGATATTAGGACAAGTAAGATAGCGGTATCGAATTTAACTTGACAGCAGCTTTTTTTGATTTGCTTTAGATGGCAGAAATGCACAGAACATTGCTTCTTTAGTAAGAATCAATTATGGCGAGTCAAATTTCGAGAACACTAGCAAGTTTTTTCCATGACTGTTCTAAGGTTTTAAACGCGATGTACGTAGATAATCTTCAAGATTGCTAAGACAAGCAGCACTGTTTTCGTTTACTTCAGCAATCACCTCCGTCATTATACAAGAGTAAATTGTGCCATGTAAAGTGAGCACACGAAAGCCTATGAGCTGTGCTGAATCACGGAATTCTCATACACGAGGTGCATGTTTTTTATTTGATAGAAGACTAAATTTGCATAAACATGTTTACAGGAATTCCTTATATCATGTACAACTGCTAGCAGCGTTTGCTTACTGTCAACATGTAGCAAGTATAGATATTACGATTTCGCTTGAGAAGGATGCTGAAAACATTTTCACCGTGTGCTCAAATGATAAGGAAGCCTGCGATGTTTTTCAAAATTGCCATACTTAGGACATGAGCAGCAATTATCGTTACCAAAAATGTTTACGTCAAAGAGTGAAAATGAATGGGGGCCTTGAATCCGATATTTTTTGCAAAATTTGCTTTCACATCAATCTGGAATAGTTCGTCATTTGCATCTAGATAATAGATATTATGGACGTATCATTATTTCTCATTGTCTTCGCGTCAAAAGCTTTGCTCATATTTTTACGATGCATAAGGCAGATTTTTCCGTGATTTCGTGCTCACCTCATTGTTGTCAATGATGAAATTTATCGCAGTAAATTTTTGATAATGGATTATTCAACAAGAATGTCTCTCATATAGAGTGATTCAGTCCGAATCATCAGCAAAGTTAGTCAAACATAGTCAAAGAAAAGTAGCTGAAACTCAAAAGGAGTGATTTCTACAAATGCTTAGCTGCATAATTCTCTCTTTCCGCAAATAATCGTACCTTTTACTTTTTGTTGATAATATAATCAAAGCAGATTGATATGGAGCGTCTCAGTTCTAAGAGGTATGCCTCTGCCATTCATGATGGGATTCGTCAGAACTTAATTTCAGTGCACGTTTGAAGCCACAGTCTGAGAGTCCGGCGAAGCCGGACGATCGGACTGGTATATAGATAAGGGTGCAATAGGCCAACAGGCTTATCAATTGCAGTGTTGGGTGCACCATCTTCGCTCCGCGCAACTTTGCATCTCTTCCGCGAATAGGCCCTCCAAACATTTACAATCGATTTAGGCTCCGCCTTTCCCACTCTTGCGATGGGAAAGTGATTACAGAGCATGGCGAAAAAGGCGCAGAGTCCAAGCGAGGCGACCGCACCGGAGCGGAGAGCTGGTGCACCCGACACTGCAATTGATAGGGGCACTGTACGCACGCTTTCTCTCCTGCATAGAAATTGTCTCACTTTTCAAATTAGTGAGAGTTTGAAGACATAGTTATTTTATGAACGACAGTATCTACGTATAATATCTAATATCATTTGTTGGGGTGAAGCGGGCAAACAGGAGCCAACAGCCATTCGCTTTCCGATCGCAGCAAGAAAAAAATCAAAGTTGGAGAGTCAGCATACTTGTGCTTGCGGAAGAGGGCTCAAACAAAGGCTCCTTTTAATTGCTCGGAAAAATTTCTATACAGCAAAGATAACAACCTGAATTTTTTAAAACCGTAAAATATTTCTCTGAGTTATAGGCTACTTCATGATGGCAGCCATGTGTACGCCTATCCTTATCTGGGAACATTAGTTTGTCAAAAGATGGCAAAAAAATAAAAAATAAAAAAACCACTGCAGAATTCTCATTTTCTGTTTCTCTTACTTGCCTTTTTCACGTGGCATAGTACTTCTATGATAGGCCTAAACTCGCTTAACACGTTGATGAGGGTGGAGGACTATATGTCGCCGAATTTGGAAGAGTCCCGCGCGGATTCTCTGCAGGAACGCATGTCCGCGCATGTATAAGGGTGCGTATTTCGCAAATGACCGCAGGGACCGCCCTTTTTCGGCGACATATAGTCCTCTACCCCGTTAATGACAGTGTCATCAATGGTGTGCGGCAGTTAGTCTGCCCTGTGGACGACGTCGCGCACTGCGCGGCACCCTAAGTTTCAATTTTTATGTGCCCAATCGCTCTTATTTGTGTCCTTATAACCAACATAGTAGAAGTTTTTCATGTTGGCCCCTCCCCTCTTTTGGCAAACTCCGCCCACTCCAATTGCCTTCTGCAAGGGAAATTTTTGTGCAGAAAACACAAAGGAGAGTCGCAAATGACTCCTGGAGCCTCAGGCAGCTCTAATCTTGGCTCCGACAGGAAGGCTCCGCCCCCTCGCTGGCAAGCTCCGCCCACTTTTCAAAAATGCCGGAATTTGCACGAATTCGTAGATTTCACAAAATTTCCAGCATTTTTTGAGGAGCTTTCCACCAAAGGCTCGGAGGTGCCCTACCCTCTTGTATATTCATATTTCACGCATAGATGGATGCATATATACGAACAGTCAGGGCGTAAAAATGGACGGAAACATCTTGTCCACAGGGACAGACTTGAAAGAAATGTCTCGTCGTCAATGTGTTAATCCAGCAAAATTCAATTTGTTCGAAAATGTTAATTGGAAGAAGTTAGAACAATTAGAAATTCGCGAATTGGACCGAACTTTCGGAACAACACGTGCTAACGTGTTTCTTCCTTCGAGCTATGTACAATGACACGCGACGTGACGCAGCGTGCATTGCCTGCGTTGAAGAACGACAACGTTAATTAATATTTGACAGTATGAATGAAATCCATGCAAATTTTTGATTTCAAAATTTGTCCTGTTCACAAAAAGTAGGAAAAGCTACCCCTTGGTTTTCTTTCTCGTTAACCTTGAGCGGTTGATTTCAGCTGCACACCCGCATGGTTGCAACGGTTTCACAATGCAAAATGTCTACTCTTGATGCTTGGCATATGTGCCTTTATCCAGGTCAGATTACGACCAAAAAGGCATGTGATGACTCATGATAAAGGTGTTCTTATTTGCAGAGTTTTGTGGTAAATGCAATATTTCCGGTTGGTCTATCCACATTGGAAAGAAGATTCAAAATGACAAGGTGAGACCATTTGATAGGCAAACTGGTGCATTATGTCACTGTCAAAAGTACGGAGTACTGAAAATTTATGACTTCGTGAAAAAAAAACCAGAAAATAATTGATTGACCTTAGATTCCTGATTATCCTAATTTCAGCACCCACACAGGAATTATATCAAGCTGGTATGATTTTGCAGTGCTTCTTGTCGTATTTCCATGCTGTCATTGGGGAAATAGCGGTAAGTTTTGTCACTTAGCCACAGATTCTTAACATTTTCCAAACATCCACAGATTCTAAATAGTTTCCGAACATTTCCAAACTGATGAGAAATAGAATTTTCGAGAAAAGTGCCTTAAATTTTTGTAAGTTATGTCCACGGTCCATCTCAAAATCGCACCCCTAGTGGCAAGCTCCGCCCACCGTTTTGAAATTTCCCAGAGGCTCCGTAGGGCAAGGAGTTTTCATAAGGCTCTATACTCGCAATGAAACCCTAATAACTGTGAAAATTCAGCGCTCCAAGAAGTGATTGATTTGTGTTTGCAGATTTGGGCAATACAACTCTTTCCAGAACCTATCAATTCTTTTCAGGACACAAAGGACGATGGATAGGTTGGGGTGGAATTATCATGGCACTTGGTTCGCTAATATGCGTTATACCTCATTGGATTATTAGTCCGTATCAGCCTGAACATTCAGAAATGAACACAACGGATTTTGGACAATGCACTCTTAGGTAATCTAAATTCTTACGTCGGGTTTTTATGGATTGCTGAAATTCCAAAGCGAAAAAATGTGGGAGAAAATTTCGCCAAACTTATGGAAAAAAATTTCAGTTGAATAGCCATTCAAATGCTTAAATTTTTTTCAGAGACCTTGAGATCAAAACCTGTGAAAAACAACCGATCTCATCCTACCTCAATCCCTATTTCCTTTTATTCTTACTTGGTCAAACTCTTCATGGAGTTGGATCAACGCCGCTGTTCTCGATAGGAACCACGTACATTGACGAAAATGTCTCACAAAAGGCCTCTCCCGTCTATTTAGGTAAGCTAAGAGTCCGTTCCTTTCATCAAAATTACCGTAATCTGGATTACTATAGCTGTGCATGCTGTTCTGACGTCTTTCGGACCCGTTATTGGAGTTTTCGCTGGTGGAGCCCTATTAAATATCTATGATGATTTTGACAGAGTAGATCAGTGAGTATACTGTACCTTCCTAAAGTAAGCCTATAAAACACAAAAAATTATTCAAGTCCCCCAATTGCCCGAAACGACCCACGTTGGATTGGCGCATGGTGGATCGGCTTCTTGATAGCGTCCATATCCGCTCTAATTATTGCGTTTCCTATCCTGGGTTTTGCTCGAGAACTGCCAGAAGCTAGACATCACAGAGCCAAGGACGTCAATCAGGTGTCTAGAAATTTTCCCAAAGATGGAAATTTCCGTTTTTGAACGATTAATCTCAGGTTCACGCCGCTAATGCTGCCGATGCCAACGAAAAAGCTCCAAAGGATGCGAAGAAACTACCGGCTGTCGTTATGGTTATTAAAATTGACAACACAAATTTTGAGAAAAATTTATATATTCCAGAAAATTCTTCGGAATCCAACGTTCATCGTCTGCATCATCATAGGCATATTCGAATCAATCATCATCAACGGATTCGCAGCATTCATGCCAAAGATTTTGGAAACGCTGCTTAGCACAACGCCAATCTTTGCTTCGTATCTATCATGTAAGTGCATCTCCCGAAAAATTATTTGAGTGCTAAAATTCTTGAAAATTGAATTCAACAAGGCTGTATAAAGTTCAGGAAAGTTCGAGGAAACCTAAAGTTCCTGATTCAAGTATTAGGTTGGCACATAAGTTTTGCAACTTTTCCCGTAACTTTTTTCCTATTTCGTGTAGCAATCTCATTTTCTGGCATCATGTAGATCGTGATGTAAGCTGCAAGTCTGCGCAAACCGTTTGATTTCTGATAACGTAGTACAAAAAATCTAAGCATTTTTTGAAAACTGCTGAAAATTGAGGTTTCACGATTTTTTGGCAAACATGAAGCCCTACCAAACCTGATTCAAACATATGAAAAAGCAATTATAGGCAGCATGTAGCTGGAAGTTGGCACATTGGAATCAGTGAAAAAGAAATGAAATTTAAAAAAATTAAGGTGGGGCGCCTTTGAGAAGTTGAACAAGTCAAATGCGTCAAGTTTTGAAGGCAATTTGTCAATGATAAGCTGCGAAAAGTCAGAATTCGCTATAACTTTGCACTATAGGGTAATTCTATGCGGTAAACACGAATATCATATTCATTTGTCGTTAAAATGAGATTCATCTTTTGATCTCACGAACGAGGCCTTTTCATGCGAAACGGATCTCATTTTTGCGATCAGCATGTCAAATAAGCCCTATAGGCCAAGTTTCAGCAAAATCTGATGCATTCTAAAATTTTTCCATAGTACCGTAAACCTACCGTAATCCTCACATACGATGGTAAAATTCGGCAAAAATGTGTGCATTAGAAGGTTACATCATATTCCTTATATTGCCAAAAAATGAATGCGCTACGTTCAAAAAGACAAAAGTTATATAAAAAGTTGCATTACTTATGTGCCAACCTAATAAAACGGTTCGAGAAATTCTCCCAGGGTAGCAGGGAGGGGGGACAGAAATTTCTGGTTAAAAGAGCATTATGTTAAAACACTCTTCGAAAATTTCCGTTAATTTCATCGCAGCCTAATTCTCCGAAAAGGTTCTCTAATACCGAAGCTAGGCTCTCAGAAAAATTTTGCTTACGAAGTTAGCTTGAATTCTTGAAAAGTTTAAAAAAAATATTTTGAGCGTTCCTAAGTAGAAACAAGTTAATTGCACATTTTGAAAACTAGTGTAGGGCACTTCTGGAGATTTGGCAGCATATTTTCGGGAAGGGAAGGGGTCACCATCAACAAGCATCTTACTGACAAATCAAGTAAAGTGGTTTGGTAAGAATTATTCGGACATGATCCATGAATGAGTAAAAGAATGAGTTATCGTTTGCTTGATTAACTGATTGATTGATTATTTATTAAGCGATTGATTGATTAAATGATGAATCAAAATGAATGACAAATGAATAAATCAATGACTGATGGATCAACAATTCCGGAATAGATTTTTCGTGCTTTGAGAATTGACCTTCATCCATATAGTAAAAAGAATGGTCAGCGGATGTGAGCTTATGTAAAGAATAAGGAACTCTAATTATATACATAATTTCAATTGAGAATGGCTATTGATTTTTGTAGAACTTCAAAGGTCTGTTAGTATGGGTTCAGGCATACCTTTTTCGGGACTTACTACGAAATTTTGTTTGTGTGCGTTTTATGTTTCAATAAAGTAAAAATACGCATAACTGTTAAACTTTAATTTCACTCATATTCAAACCCTGTTCTTTTCGAACACTTCAAAAATTTTACTTTTTTTGATTTTACCTAATAATTTTCATGAATTTAGCTGTGGTAATATTTGCTGCTGCAGCTGGTGTAATGATTGGAGGAATGGTGATTCGAAAGTTGCGATTACAAGTATGTTTTTGAAAAAAATTTATGCTTCAGAAAAATAAAAATTTTTTCAAGGTCGGGGGTATGTTGAAGATGATTATTTGCTGCCATGTGGTGGCGCTTCTTTTCACTACTGGCTTATTGTTACATTGTCCACAGAGAAGTTTTGTTGGCATCAATACTGATTATAATGATCTGTAAGTTGTAGCGTCTGTAAAAAATTTTGAAATTTATAAATATATATATATATATATAGAGCTATCCATGTAAGCGACCACGACATCAAGGCGGAATGTAACGAACAGTGCAATTGTAAGGTAAATTTTTAGACACATTAAAATATCCAAATCTGATTTATACTATAAAGATGAGAAGAAAAAATGAAAAAACACTTTCTTGTTACAGGAAGAATTCAATCCAGTTTGCGAGGCTGACACTGGTAGAATGTACTTTTCCCCTTGCTTTGCGGGCTGTACTCAAAAACATGATTCACATGGAGTAAGTTGTTCGCATCAAGTATTGGCTCTTAAACTATGTATTAAATCAAAAATAGTCCAGGGTTGATGTTTATTGATCTTCCAATATGTGAATGTGTGCTTTCGTATCGTTATGGACTCATCACCCGATCGAGAGCCAGTTGCGAAAAAATGCCCGATCGGGGGATGGGCGCCCGTTTGCAGTAAAGCATCCAATCCGAGATAGGAAGATTGGTAAATACTGCCACAAATCTGCCAAAAATTTTGAAAAAAAAAAACAAATCATGCTTAGTTTCAAATTTCATGACTGATTGGCTCATAAATAAGGTTAACAATTCCAGAAGAATATTTGGTCGGATTGCAGCTGCTTGAAGGAAAACTTTACGAATCATCCAGAAGTGCAACACTCAGAATCTCTCCAACAAGGGTACTTCTTCGTATTTTTTAGCTCATAACCTAAATTTCAGTCAACGACTGGTTTAGTTATTGCAACATCGACTGCGGCTACAACACCTACATCTTGATGGTCACCCTGTTCATTACTGTAGTTGCAAGCTTTGCATCCGGGATTCCAACCCAGCAAGTAAGCATAAGCGAAAGCGGATTTACTTAATATGTTTCTCCTTCCCTTCAAGGCAGTGGCTCAGCAAAAGCGAACATATCGAAATTTCGATATGGAAGGTTGCTTGCACCCCAAACATAAGACCTGAGCAGATCCGAGCGCATGGCTGCCCCTGCCTAGAAAACTGCCTTTAAACCCGTACGCGCAAGCCATTCTTACACGCGCTCGGAGGAGCTTGCGATTTCCCTTTTACCGTCAGAGGAGGCATAACGAAATGTTATAACAGTGGGGGTCTCGCAACAACTCTGCGTCTCTAACCATGGCCGGAATCATTCGACTCGTCCAGATTCAAAATAAGGAATCTTAAAAAGTCCAGGTTCTCGCCATTTTTGCGCTCTTCAAGGTGGATTTTCGGATTCTGCTCGAATTACCCTAGGTAAGCGAAAAAACTTTAGGTCGAGGATTTGCCGAACCACTGCCTTTAAAGGCAGTACCTCGGCAGAATGAGACCCGTGACAAAACAAGGTCACAGGGTAGGAGCCCCCATATGAAACTTATCGGCCAAAGTCCGATCTTTCTCTGCCACTTCTAACCCCCGAAATTTTAACGCGGAAGCAGCGCTCATCTCCTGTCCTCTCCGAACCCGCCCACCCCATGGACGAGTGAACGCGAAGCCCGTCATGGCAAAGACGCAGAGTCGTTGCGGGACCTCATGCTTATAGCATTGCGGCTGGCGCTCTGACCGCGGAAGTCGCTCGTCCATGAAGTGGGCGGGTTCGGAAAGGACAGGAGATGAGCGCTGCTTTCGCTTTGAAATTTCGGGGGTTAGAAGTGGCAGAGAAAGATCGGACTTTGGCCGATAGGTTCCATATGGGGGCTCCTACCCTGTGACCTTGTTTTGTCACGGGTCTCATTCTGCCGATGTACTGCCTTTAACTAAGCCACTACCAGGCCTATATGTTTTATTCGTAGCCAACAAGTCTATTATGAACTCTCGCCCAGTGCCGTAGTGAAAGAGACGCGCAGATTGGTGCAGACTGAAGGAGTACGGTATTGGGAGAGAGTTTGGAGTTGAGTTTCTCGGCGATGATTGAATTAGATTGGGCAACGACTCAGTCCATGCTTTTCAAATTGCAGTTCAAAAAAATATATCGTTTAAAATTGGGAAGTTTTAAGTGTCAAGTGATTTTTAATTCCAGATCATGCTTCGTGTTGTTCCATTTGATCAGAGAACATTAGCATTAGGAATCAACTGGACATTTCTAAGGCTGCTAGGTGAGCAGAACCTCAACTTCGTCTATCCATCCATTCATTCATTAATCATTCATTCATTAACATTCATTCATTTCATTCATTCATTTCACTTTATTTATTTATTTATTTATTTATTCATCGTATCCAGTCATTTATGCTCATCCGAATTTTCAGGTTTTATTCCTGGAGGTATTCTTTTTGGAATGATGATCGATATTGCTTGTATGGATTGGGAACAATCGTGTGGACGTCAACAAACTTGTCGTGTCTACGATCCTTTAAAATTAAGTTGGACCATCACTGCAGTAGGTAAGCGATTGTGAAAAAACCTTCTTGATTTTAAAAAGGAAAGTTACAGCTATTGTCTGCAAACTCCTCTCTATACTTACTACTATACTTGGCTATATGACATATCGGCCAACTGATCTCGATATGGGGATGTCCGTTCAATCACAAGACTCACATGGTGCTCTTCATCTGGTTGTCAACGATGACAGGCCACCTGAAGAATTTGGGCCAAAAAACAAAGTAGTATCCTAGTAGTTCCACTCAACTTTTCTGTATCTGAGCTATACCCAGATTCAAATTTTGAACTTCTCAGAGAATTCTACAGTTGCATACGTGTATTTCAGTGTTATATTGTTTGAATGTCGTCCCTCGAAAATACTTAGCCATATGTGACTAAATGTCCAGGTCGGTCCTTGAGGTGCATTAGAGCTATACACTTTATTTTTCTCTTTTTTTTCTGAATGTACTTCAGGTGTTTTCATGTGTCGCTTTACTTCCAACAGTTTCGTTCTTGTCTCTTTTTCCATCCTAGCGTTGTCACTTGATTAATCTCAGTTTTTTTTTTGAGACTTGCTTGCCTTGGAACGTTGCATATCCATCTACTTTCCTTGATGTATGTTGTGAATGCACTTACAATGACAAATGTATATAGAACCAAATAGGCGTTTTTCTTCTCTCAAGAAATTCCCAAGTATGTGTTTTCATTGCGGAAAAAATAAGAGGCTACCATCGATGACGTCATTGTTCATCATATTGACAGTGAAATCTATTTTGTGGCGAATTATTGGATGAAGAACCCCTGATTAGCTTAATGAGAAGCACATAGTGTCGATCTATCAACAACGGTAACCCTTTCTACAGAAGAATCGCTGCCAGAAATCGCTGTTCGCTCCATCATACAAGCGTCCAGACGTTCCTTTTTCGCCAGTGTATGCGCTCGTACCACGTTTTAAACGCTCACAAGCACGACGGTATGGTCACATACGTGATGTTTCTCTTTATTGTGCGAGTTTTGCGAAACTTTCTGTCGTTCTTGGGTGTTTTTTCAATGAAATGATAGTTGTACATTTCAGTTTGCTCTACTAAGGATTTCGAAATTACATAGATGCAGTCAAGGAAAAGACTGCTCTTGTAAAGAAGCGATAGGCCAAAAACAGCTAGATGTGGGAACGAGGTTGATGCTTACCCGACGTAAATGATGGCTCTACCGGCTCAAAGCGATGCTGTCAAGACCCATCCATAATTCCCTTAATCCAAAGAGTAGCAGATCACTTATTTCAAAGGACTAACGTAGGCGGGTATAATTGTGTAGGACCAATCCAATTTTGAATACAATAAACAAAAGACAAAAGAAAATGTCGAAGGTGCTGAGCATTGTAAGGAGTCAGGTATGGTGTTTTATACATCACAGCCTTTGCTTTTGCCTCTCCCAAAAGCATTTTCCAGCTTAAGTGCTTCCAGGGCTTGCGCGGAACGTATAGGTGGGAGAGGACGGAGTTCTAGGGAGAAGGGTTATTTATGATGTACATATACAGGGTGCGGAAAAAGTACTGTCCCTCAAAATAAAGGCGAAGAAATCGGCGTATTTTTTAGTGTTTTCTGGCAAATTTGATACAAATCTTAAGATATGGGTGTATTCTAGCATTTTACAAAAATTGGCTCAAAAATTCTGCAATATCACCCAGCGGCAGATCCCTTTTTGAGCACATCCCCTTCGAGATCTTGCATTCCCTTTTACAAATGTGAAAGGAGTGTGAAGTTTTTTGGAAATTTCTTTTGTTTCCACCGCGGATATGAGAAATCTCCCGTTTGCTTGAAGAATGTTATAGTGTCTTCGAAATATGCTGGAAGTAGCCAGACCGCAGCTACAGTAGGAGAAAAGTCGGGAAATTTTTAAACGAAATAGCGTCTGCGGCGCAACAGGGTGCGATCAGAAAACGCGGCACAGAAACTGAGTACAAACGTTTATTGACTCAAAATTATGATGTAGCAAAGCCCGATGCTTTTTCATTATTCTTCTTGCTTTTTGTTTAAATCTGAAATTTCAAACCATAGTTCGAATTCAATTCCTTGAGCAAAAACAGATCCGAGTAGCCTCTTTCCGTGAATTTTTCGAATTTCCTTAAGATACAATTTTCCTTGTTTAGCCAAAATTTCAAGTCACTGACCCATAATGAGTACAGAATTTCGGAGAGGAGATTATGCTTTACCCACTACCTCAATTTAAAACTGATATCACTCTTGGTGGTATAGTTACGGTCCAAAATTGCACCCAAACGCTGCGGCGCATTGTCGATGATGCTGCTCGCTGTTATCGCTTGTTTGAATGAACAGAAGGAAATCGTTTCAAGCCAAACTCATCTCATTGTCAGTCGAATCTACAGTGCCTCGCCTACATGTCAGAATCAGAAAACTATAAAGTTTCTCCATCTCTGAGATTTTCTAAGGGCCAAGCTGAGGGACGGTAATTTTTCCGCACCCTATAAATACTGTTGTAAATATTATTTCATCTTTCTGCTCACGAAAACGGTGTACAGCATGCCAAGGAACCACCACTACTTATTGACGTGTGGGGAGATATGTGTGTTAGGAAGGTTTTCCCCACTTTCGACTGAAGACGTTTCAAAAATAACGAAAAAAGCGAGTAGTACAGCACGTCTCGACTGTAATCGCATGTTCAAGCTGAAAGTTCACTTCACTCCGGCTGAAAGTTCACTTGCACCTTCTTCGTCCTTCCCCTTGAAAACTCTAAGAAATTCAGAAGTTCCGTATTTGTATGAGAGAAGATGAACGGCTATCCATTAGCATCATTTTCGCCTTCCCGGAATGAGTTACTTTGAATAAGACTGCAGTTTTTCAACGGCACTCCAACCTCCATTTTTTCCTTGTTTCTCTGGAAAAGAACCCCTCATTCTTCTTTTTTTTCTTTTCAGATTTTGTGGAATTTCATTAGTAGAGCGAAGGCAGTTCGGAATTTAAACCTCTCAAATAATGCAAGTTGGAAAGTGGCCAAAAGTATATTTAGCAATCTGAAAAAAATCAAAAAAACATATTTATTATGGTTGACATGTACATGTCCAAAATCCACAATTCCACATGATTGAAACTACTGAGGATAAAAAATGAGAACGTTTTGGAAGATTTTTTTGTTAAGTGTAACAAAATTTCACCTGATATTTTCGGATCGTCAAAAGGAAAAAACAAACTATTTTATTGTTGTTAAACTTTAGTATCTGGTTAGCTTGCGGCGCCATCGGCCATAACTAAAATCGTATGAGTGCGCTAATCGCTGAGTGCCTTCATCACCGTATCACAGCGAAGGGATCAAGCAGTAGACCAGCAAAGAGTGCCATGTTTCATATTTTTACTCCAGTCGAGAGATGTGACTGTTTAACGGTCGACTGTGGGTGTTTGTTGGCATACCTTTGCTCTGAAAATATCTGTAATCACTGTCAGTCTTCTATGCATTTCCCAGATCATATGTGCCACTCGGTGGACCCCTTCTTTCAAGCTTGCCCAGGATTGCTCTGGGTTTTCCTGCAGGCTTAAGAGGGTTGTTATTAGTGCTTGTTTCGCGGTGTCGTTGGTTTTCAATCTCCACCATTTAAAGCGTGTCCTAGTTTCTGTGGTTCTCCTGATGTGGCTGTCCATTGCTTTTTTGATGTTGAGAAGCAGTAGTCTGGGTTGAGGTATGCAGTTCTCACCGGGGATGACTTTGCAGTTCTTTACTTTTCGGAGGTCACGCTGTTGGATCTCAAAAGTTTATCTCTCAGCAGAAATGTCCTATCCAGTGGAACTGAACTGGTGTGGTCATCGAGTTCCTGCCAGAACTCGTCATTTTGCTACCCCTCACCCGACTTGTTGTACATAAGCGGTGATTTCCAGCATCTCACTTTATCCTCATTAGACGATCGCTCATGCGCTCAACGTCAACAATATTGCTCTTCAGTCTCCGAGACCGCTATACCAACTCCGTTTCTGGTGCAGGTGGCACTGTGGTAGAGGAGCTTCTATCCATCTCAGTGACATTGCTCTGCACCACTTCGTTTTTTGTATGCAGGCTACATCGACTTGCCGCTTCTTCAGAAGTCTGCTAGCTCGGGAACGAGAGGTGAGGGTGCCCATATTGACACGTTGACGACCGTGTGCATCCGCGCGTATGCACTCCCTGACCACCTTTTAGCACATTCGTTTTTCAATTTATCATGTGTAAACGAGAAGTTCCTAGGTAACTTCTATGCAGTAATAACACTGGTGGCCTGGTTGTCATATATTAGGTTGGTAAGAAAATTCTTGGACATTTTTGACTCAACTTTTTTGACAAGTAACAAAACATATAAGAGTTTGGTGGGTCAAATGTGGTATCCGTAGGTCGAAAGCAGCTCTATCCGATAAGCCCAGATAATCAGTTTATCATCTTTAGCCGTCCCCGTTCATCTTGCTGAAACGATAACTCTCGCCCACTGTTCTCATTCGTCGGGCTCAAATGCGCGTCGCTTCCAGGGGACGCCTTAGTTTTACTCGAAATAAATTATGAGACATGTCTGTACTTGTGATGCGACGTAGTATTTCTTAGCCGGCTTGTCGCATGCCCTTCCAAAAGGGTAGCCCCGACGCTGAAATTGTAATTTTGGCCGCAGAAATTAGGCCCAGGGTAGATGATCCTGCGACCTTCAGCAAAGCCAGGAAAAGAAGGAACGTTCGAAAAACGTGGCGGTAGAATGACGAAGTGCAAAAGGTCATAGAAAGAGATGCGTACAAGTTATGGCATAAGACGAAATTGGATGATGAACGCCAAATTTAGCAACAAGCCAGAAGCGCTGCGAAAGCTCTTGCAAAGAAGGCAAAACAGGTGTACATAAAAGAGCTCCACGGTCAACTAGAATTCCGCGCGGGAGAACTTGAGATATACCGGACAGCGAGAAGAAGAGCGGAGTTCAAAAAAATGTGGAGCACTTTCTCAATATCAAAGACAAACTTTATGGGACTCTAAGAACACCGGCGGACATCACTGAAAGACGTAGAACCTACTTTAGAGGCTGCCACAGGCCGCAGCGTTAACTCCATCCCAAGAGCTGACCCTGTAAACGATCAGTACTACTACGATGTATGGCTATAACGAAAAAAAGAATGGCAAAGCGAGTGGATCAGATGACATAAAAGTGAGTTCTGGAAAGTGTGTGGACAATCCGGGCTTCCTGGCTATTAGGCCTTCTCAATCAGATTATAAGAAGCAAGTGTCAGCCTCGTGATTGGTATACCAGCACAATGGTTGCGATTTGGAAGAGCAAAGGGGACGTCGCAGACTGCGCATCTCACCGGCCAATCAGCTGATGAGCCACATTCTAAAGATCTTTAAGCGATTAATCGAAACGTGCCTTAGAAATATCATACAGTTATCGTCAAATCAATGTGGATTTATGAAAGGAGTAGGTAGAACCGACGCAATCCACTCGATAGTGACGGGGAAATACAGAGAGAAGCAGAAAAATTGCATGCAGCCTTCCTGGACCTGGAGAAAGCCTTCGATAAGGTACCCCATGAAGTTATATGGTGGGCCTTACGGAAACACAGGAGAGGAACAGTGGATAAAGTTGATCTACCACAACCATTCAAGCCACGTGCAAACAGCTGCAGGGCAATCGAAAGAATTCC